AAGCAATAAGATCCTAAAGTAATATCTTCATTCAGCTTTTATTGCAGTTAGTTCTTGTGGGAATTCTGCAGAGATTGTGTCTCTTCAGTTTTGATCTGCAGTGAACTGTGCTACCCCACACTGTACACTTTGTCATGGATACACAGAGTGCTTGTTGTGTTTTGATTTTATAATGAGGTTTTATCAGCCTAAATATAAATAGCAGAAAATTGAGTTTAAGCCATGACATCACTTTGGCTTTGCAAATGCACTTACAAAAATAAAAAGGATTTATGAAAGTGACAGATCTCATTTGTTTGGCAGAGGAAGATAAGCAAATGTGCATATGCTCTTTCCTTTTTCTTTTTTTTTAAAGCACAATTTGGGAGGAAAACTTGCTGCTTGTCCTCATGTTCCCAGCTGTCCCTTTTCATTTCTTAACATCTGAATTAGCACACAGAACCCCTCTATCTTAGTTCTTCCAATGACTAATGGAGAGCTGTCGCCCTCTATTCAACTGGAACATATCAGTTCGCAGGAGAATATTGCTGCCAAGTACTTACTGGGAAATTGGCGATTTTGTAAATCCTTTCATCAGTTTAGAAATGTTTCCATTTGTGATACCCAACTTGCTCTCCTTCCTCTCCCTCCTAGGCCAACATCTTAGCTTATATTATATAGTATTCGCCCCGCTGACAGTAACTCTAAGAATCTATCTTCCGTGTAGCATCATGCCACTCTTTTACTGCCATCGCACTCATGCATCATAAAAGCTTCAATGTATTACTTTGCAAATAAGAATACAGTCATTTACAATTCACTTTTTAAAGGAGTCTGTGCTTCTTAGATGCAGTGAAAGAAACGTATTAGAGATGCAGCAACCACCTGGGCTAATCTATCTGGACATGATCCAGAGCATTATCCTGTTTTATGCATGTCCACTGGGATGTATTTACTTTATGGCTTTTCTGTGTTGGTGTGAGGATTTGTCATTCCAGTCTGCTTTTGAAAATCCTTTGTGTTTTGAATGCATTTCATCAGAGGTGCGAGGATAGAAAAGTAGTAGTAATAATAATAATAATAACAACAACAACAACAGCAACAACAACAACAACTTTATTTTTATACCCTGCCTCCATCTCCCTGAAGAGACTCAGGGTGGCTTACAAAGGGACAAGCCCAGAGAGCACAGAGTTAAAAAAAATAACACAATAAAACAAAACAAAACTAAGTAGAAACATATAACATAAATAAAACATAACATCATGAAAACAGTACCATGGGAGCAATAAAAGTGCTAAGTTCAGAGGGCTCTGAGTTTGTGCAACATTCCTAGATAGAGCTAAGGGAAAGTGCAAAATTCAGTGACAGGGATGGGAGAGTAATGTCCTTGGGCTTTATAATGTCAGGGTTGTAGAGCTGAGGGCCATATTAAGTTGTAAAGCGGAGGGCCATGCCTTTTTTTTTGGTCGTGTCAGGAGCGACTTGAAAAACTGCAAGTCGCTTCTGGTGTGAGAGAATGGGCCATCTGCAAGGACATTGCCCAGGGAATGCCTGAATGTTTTGATATTTTACCATCCTTGTGGGAGGCTTCTCTCATGTCTCTGCAATGGGGAGCTGGAGCTGATAGAGGGAGCTCATCCACACTCTCCCTGGAATTGAACCTGCAACCTGTCATCTTCAGTCCTGCCGGCACAGGGGTTTAACCCACTGCGCCACCGGGGGCTCCAGAGGACCATGCTAAAGTGCCGGTATTAAAAGGCCAATTCTTTGGAGTTGCCTAATCAAAGGCACAACAGAACATCCATGTTTTTAAGTTCTTGCAGAAGGAGGACAGGATAGATGACAGTCTGATCTCCATAGAAAGAGAGTTCCAGAGTGCCTCCCCTGATGATCTTAGGGCTCGTGTTGGTTCATAGGGGAAGATGCAATCGCTAATATAGGCAGGTCCCAAACCATTTAGGCCCTTGTAGGTAATCACCTGCACCTTGAATTGGGACCGAAAACTCATTGGCAGCCAGTGGAGCTGTTTAAACAGGCGGGTTGACCACTCCCTGTAACTTGCTCTAGTTAGTTCAAAAAAGTCACATGAATTCCATTTATTTTTGTATTTTTGGATTTTTATCACCATCTGCGATAGCCTTTCCCAACCTTATGCTATGCAGAGATTTAGACTCCAGCTGCAATTTGCTTTAGCCAGTGGTCAGCAATGTTGAGGACTACAGTCCAAAGCAGCATTTTGAGCGCACAGCTTGGGCATGACTGGTCTGTACCACAATGGCTGTAAAGAAAAACAGGTTGTGAACTAATCCAGTATTGCTGTGAAAAAATAACAGTGTATCCTGAACTCCTTTGAAGGGCTCATTTAATTGTAGGCGTATTCCTTCTCAGCAGTTGCTTAGATATTAGGTATTTTGTTAAAACACAGAAAGGAACATCACACACAGCTTCACTGGGCTGGATAATACGTTTCGGATAACACTTGTAATAGCAGGTACATTGCTAATCAAAAGCTAGTTCTTTGGGGTGTTTACTGGAATCTCAAATTTCATGAGTAGTGATGCGTAACATTCCAAATTAAAATTGACAGATGCAGCAGACAAAATAACGGTGGCTCCATTCCCACTACATCATGTGTCCAAATAGATCGGATGAGTTGTCAGGTCTAATCTAAAGCCCTCAGAAATTAATGGAAAAGCTTGCGGACTTCTGTGGTGTTTTGGCTCCAGCTCTCACTGTTTAAGGGCATGACCGCATGGATTTTGATTGCTTGCAAAGAGGCAGTGTATTGCAGATTAAGGGCAAGACCCTTTACAACAGTCATAGCAAAGTAGGCACTGCACATTATCTTCTAAATAATGGGTTGCATTAAAGGCATGGCATGTTCCCATCTGATCTTGGCAGTTAAGCAGGGCCAGCTCTAGTTAATACTCAAATGACTACCAGTGAATACTGGGTGCTGTCGGCCATATTTCAGAGGAAAAAAACTTTTAAAACGTTGCATTCATAATATCTCCATTAAGTTGACTGCTGACTTGAAGACACATAGTTCTGCACACAATTTGAAGCATTCCTCATGGGAATGCTTTCACAAAGCGATTTCATCATCCAATGTGTTTGTCTGAAGAGATCTCTCTCTCTCACGTGGTTCCTACAATGTCTTGTCCAACTGAGCTGTTATGAGGAGGCTGAGTCATCATCTCAATGGATATCAAGAAAGGAATAGGTCAAGTGTGGGCAGGGGTAGGCAAGCAGTCTGTGGGCACATCACTTGTAAGGAAGGCTGCTGATACATTCAGCCATTGGAAGAGACTGGAGGAATCTGCAATAGAGATCTGAAATGGACACTAGAAGACTGCATGTATATCTATATCCTTCCACGTGCCCCTAAATATATCTTAGGGAGTATGGAAGGCATTTCCGTAATTTTTGGAGGCATTCAAGAGTCAAAAAGATGTTTTCCCCAAAATATTTTCCCCAAAAGTCTCCATATATCTTTTAGGGAGCATTTCCACCACATTTTAAGATGGAAAGTGGTTTCTTCTCATTTCCTGATGTTAAAGAAAGGTCTGAAATGGCCTAGGAAGGCCAAAATATGTTGGAAATTGCTACTTGGAGGATGTTTGAGTTTGGTTTTGTTGTTTTTAAGAGATGGTGCAGTGGAGGGATAAGGTCCTCCAAGGTCTCCTTAGGGGTGCATGTAGCTCACAGGTTTTACAGAACTGCCCATCCTTACTCTATATGTTGAGAGACCGCACCTTCACTTAGTCCTACTAAGCACAACTGTGGTGAAAAGTGATGGGAATTGGGATGGGAATCTGGAGAACCATATGTTCCCTATCCTTGACATTGAGCACCTGTGACCTCTGAACATGGCTGTTCCTTAAGAGCAGTTACCCTCTGGGTACAAAGCCATCATGTCCTACTCCTTTCACCTCACCCTATGTTGTTCTTTACAACAATGAGTTAAGCACTATGTTCCATTTCCAGTGTGCAACCAACTTTTTATTTTCTTCTTATGTTTTAGGAATCTGGATTTTCAACCTTCATGCGAACCCTCAGAGAACGAGACCATGAAAGGATAGGCAAAAGGAAAGATGAGTTGTAATTTCTGCCTCAAAACACAATTTCCACTGCACTGTGAATAATCTCAGGGGTGGTGGTACAATGCCTGAGATTTCACATCTTTCAAAACAAAACTAAAACTTTGTTTTTTATAAGCAGCCATTGCCATTTTGTACAATTTTGAAATAAAGTGAAATCATTTGATTTTTCAAGAAAAATAAATAAATGACATTGTTGTTGCCATATTCTGTTCTGAAGGCGAGGAAGAAGGAAGAAGAGCATTTTCTCACCATTTTGATGCACCTATGCCCATTTATATTCCTATGCAATCTTTTTGTAATCTGTAGGTTTGGTAGTGATTTCCTCTGACAAGGTAATTTCTGCATTTTAGTTTTTGAAGACTATTATATGAGAAATGGCTTTTAAAAATGGGAGGGGGGTTTAAAGGAAGATGCAAAGGATCCATCAGCAGTCAGTTCCATTGAAATGAGTGGAAACTAACTGCAGCCTCAGTGGACCACACACAGCCTCTTCAGTCGCAGTCACGAGCGTGTAAGTGCAGGCCAGGTGTGATAAAGTGCACTTTTGAGCCTGGGCAAATGCCAGCCTGCGCTAACCCTCCCACTCTGTGATGGGGATGTAACTTTGCAAGGACAAGGCAGGGTGCATGCAGTCCAATGCACAGATTTGTTACCGTCAGTGAATCATGCAACGAAGAGGAAGATATCTCTTCCCAGCCCACATGCTTCTAGTTGTGTTTGGCAGTGCCAAACTGGTAGCATGACTAGTTGCAATTAGGACGTGGGTCTTATTGTTTGCAAAATGTTACACCGTGTGTGTATTTTTTTTTTAAAAAAAGCAAGATTTGGGGACTGATTTTTAAGGTGCTCAGGGATAATAGGGAAATAATGAAGCAGCATTGGCTATGTCGGATCTTAATTGACTGTAGTGGTGTCTTTATCTTTATTTTATATTTTCTTTTTGTGGGGAATAATCTGCCGTACCTGAACTGTTTACATATCTTTATAGAATGTATGGGTTATTTCAAACAGATGTCTCTGCAATCAGCACATCTTAAGCACCAAAATGACTATCTCAGTGTATTGTGTTTGCATTCATGTTGTCATATGCTCCTTTAAGGATAGGAGTAATGTAATGCAGGTGTAAAAGTTCTCCTCAATTTATGATCCCACTGTATGAACAGCGTAGTTGCTAAGCGTTCCATTTGTATGTTCAGCAGAGACACTGGTATTTTTGATATGAAGAAGCATCATGCTACAATATTTGTTTATGTTCCAAAGGTTCGTCTGTGTGTGTTAAGTACAAACAAGAGTACTTTTTTTTAGAGTTCTAGAGAAGCAGACTGTCTTTTTACAAATGTTTAGCCCTGTCAGCGATATAAGAAAATCCAGCATTACTAGAAGTAGCTTTTACAAGTCCGTAACTGTGTGCTGATTCTGTGAGATGAGGGTGATCTGGACATCATGTCTTCATGGGGTTAATGATATTTTTTGTGACTTCCACTTTGATCAAAGAGAAATAAAAATTGAAAATGATGTGTTAGTTGCTTCCTTTCTTTAAAAATGGGTTGACAAGAGTTGCCTGGAATGATGCAGGGGGTTGGTCCCTGAGACCACTTCAGAAAGTTTGGATTTCTCTCTTCTCTGCCTCCATCTTGGCAGGAATTTTGCAGAGGGAAAACAAAAGTCTTCTTAATTTTTGTAGTCTCCCATCAGTCCTGCCTGGAACCCCTGCCCCATGATCAGTGGTTCGAATCTGGGGAGCAGGTTGAGCTCCCATCTGTCAGCTCCAGCTTTTCAAGCAGGGGCATGCATATATACATTATATTTATGGTATTTCTATCTGGTCTTTCTCAGCCCAAAGGCGACTCAAGGCAGCTTTCAAATTGGCAGCAATTTGATGCCACAACAGTCATAAAATACAATTTAAAACATTTAGCACAATATTATACAAATCCATTTAAAAAACATTAAGAACATCGAATCACCAGTGTCTTCCTGTTCATTCGGACAGGTAAGCTGGGCTGGAACCATTTAGGGCTTTATAGGCTAACGCCTGCACTTTGAATTGTGCTCAGTAGCAAACTGGCAGCCAGAGGAGTTGACACAACCGAGGACACGAGAGAAGCCTTCCACAGGATGGTCAAACATCCGGGCATTCCCTGGGCAATGTCCTTGCAGACGGCCAATTGTCACAGCAGAAGCAACTTGCAGTTTCTCAAGTCGCTCCTGATACAGAAAAAAAAATCAGTCCTGTCTGTTCTTCTACAGGGAATAAAGTGTGCTGGTTTTTCTGACTCCTCAGTTCCATCTGGTGGATGATACAAAGCAGCTGCGCAAATCTGTAGGCAAAACAAAGTGAATGAAAACACATCACATTCTTTCTGCTGAGGTTTACTTCTTGCCCCTGTAAAATAAGAGGTAAACTGGACGCACATGCATTGGAGGTGGCAAAGCCATTTAGGGAATGAACTGGGTTCTTGACACAAACTTCCAAGTGTAAACAGAGCTATTGGAGGGATTCTGTGGGATAGATTCAGCTTGAACATGATGTTCAGTATTGAGATATCTGATAAATGCATATCATTTCATGAAATCCCAGCTCTATTAAACATAATTATCCTGTTTTGAAGGATGTGAAGAATGCTTCCTAATTTTCTCACTCTCAATAAGAAATAATGTATTAATTCATCAAGGCTCCCTGTTAAGAAAATAGTCGTCACTGAGAAATGTTTCACATTTCCAGCCTTCTTTTTTTTTTGTTTTAAAAAAATAATATAAAACTTGCATTTTGTGCAGATACAGTGTATTATCCACTTATTTTTGCATGGTATTTGATCAAAATGTACTTAATTGCTTTCTTTAAAGAGCATAACAAAGGTTTCATAATCTCACCCAATTTTGGGGGGGGAGGGGGGAGCTGCAATGAGTGATTCTTTTTTTTTTGGAAATGATTTTTATTAAAAATTAATATAATTACATACATGGAAAGTGGGGTGATTCTTTAATGCAAGAACAAAAAAGAGAATATTTACATCCATTTTGGCTTCCCACCATCATTTCTGAATATCCTTTTTATGGGAAAGCTGGATTTAGTATTTGTAATGAGCTCACATGAGTACATATTCCATGAACGGGAAATAGAAATGCTGGTATAGCACTAATCTTCCATAATATCTGAGCAGCTGGGCATATTCCAGTCACAGTTACATAACTAAGTGCCACTTACTTCAGTGGAAGCATTAAAACCTACATTTGAAATACTTCCTTATAAATCCATGGGGCAAATGTTTTCATTTTAGCTGGACATTATGCTTTGTGCTTTATCATACTTTTAAGGCATACATTTTAGTGCCAAGAACATACGGTATGCCAGGCTGGTGTGACCTTTCACTCCCATTTGGTTCCTCCTAGTTGGAGCAATTAAGCTTACCAGGAATTCAAAATTTAGGATTTCATCTCAGCCAGGGTGCTTGTCTGGTTGCATCCCTTACAGAGGAGAATTGCAAGTCGGGTTCTTCTTGGTTTACGACTTTTTCCTAAACAAGAGGGCAAAATGTATGCGCAATTCAGCAAGTTTTGAATGCCATGCTGGTCTAGCCATTTTTCCAAGGAAGAGCTGAGAGGGAGCAAATTAGCTGCTTGTACAGACACATAGCTCATTCTCAGTAAGCCAAGCTACTCCTAATGCCAGGACTCCTTCGTTCCCAGTGTGACGGGGCTCCCATTCTGTGTGAACATGGCCACTAAATCAGGGTAGAGTTCCCCACTTGGCTGCATTACTGGGACACTAGTTCTCACAAAGGTGCACGTCTATGCTGCTTTGAAGAGAGTACAGGGGGAGACCTGACAAGATGTTCCCCTGCCCCACTTTTCATTCCCAAATCACTTCCTGCTTTTCTTTGGCCCCCAATTAATGCTTCTATGCATTTGGCACTCGTTAATCACTGGAGCTCCCAGTATGTATTCAATGAATAATTATAGGCTGATTTGCCTTGTATGGTAGTAAGCTTGTTAACCATAACATTAATCTAAGCAATGGTAGCATGCCAAGTAGGCTCTTTCATTAGACTCTACATGAACTTTCCTATTACACAGACAATTAGCTGTCTAGGAAATTCATTGTTTTCCTTCTCACGAGCAATGGCTGGTCCGACTCCTTGCCATTCAGTACTATCTTCATTTCTCTTGTCTGTTATTCATAGGCTGCTATGGTTTTAGGCATTCAATGTTATAATCTGGAAATTTGTGTTAATATATTGCTCTATAAGTAGTACAATCAGTGCAATCGTGGACTCGCCCCAAAAATAAGAGACTTCACCTGCTTACAAAAACTTTCATTCAGCAGAAGTAACTCTCCTCTGTCACCTGCTTTATTACTAATGCCGTACTGCCTCTCATCTTAGATTGCTGGTTTAATGACAGTATAAATGCAATGATATTGTGGAAGACATGGATTACGAGCCTTTTCCAACCAATCTGATGACTTCTGTGGCATTCAAATAAGATATAAAACTGGGTTGCTGTAGGTTTTTCAGGCTGTATAGCCATGTTCTAGAAGCAAGGGGTCCTCAAACTAAGGTCCGGGGGCTGGATATGGCCCTCCCAAGGTCATTTACCTGGCCCTTGCTCAGGGTCAACCTAAGTCTGAAGCAACCTGAAAGCACACAACAACAATCCTATCACATCAGCCAAAAGCAGGCCCACACTTCCTATTGAAATACTAATAAGTTTATATTTGTTAAAATTGTTATTCATTTTAATTATTGTATTGTTTTAAAGTGTTTTTCACACTACAAATAAGATATGTGCAGTGTGCATAGGAATTCATTCATGGTTTGTTTTTTTTCAAATTATAATCTGGCTTTCCAACAGTTTGAGGGACTGTGACCTGGCCCTCTGGCCCTCTGTTTAAAAAGTTTGTGGACCCCTATTCTAGAACATGGCCATACAGCCCTGGCCATGAAAGCCTTTGACAGATATAAAATGAACTACATTAATCTGCAAATAGATTCTTCTTTAATCAATATTATGTCTACTTGTATAGACCATGGGTAGTCCATGGACATAATACATTTTTACTTCAGGACATCTGACATCCATTGTGTGTGTGTTTACAAAATGCTAAAAAAAATTAACAGAACACAATACCATCAGGTGGATTTATATGTAACTGTACATAATGGTGGTTTATTATGAATGGCTCTGCATCAAACTAGAAGAAAATATTGAGTGGACTACCACAAGGTACTGGCTTAAGACCTATAGTTTTCTATAGTTGGTGATGGTCATGATGATAATAGTGTTTTTTATGACTGAGATGAGAGCAGAGAAGGGAATGCTATCAAATTTGCAGATGCCACCAAGTGAGAGAACTATTTAATACAAGACAGAGTGATATTGAAACACTGGGCTGAAATAAGCAGATGAAATTCAACAGACCTCACAACCTCTGAGGATGACTCAGAAACGTCAGGAGAGAATGCTTCTAGAACATGGCCACACAGCCCGAAAAACCTACAACAACCCAGTGAGTCTGGCCATGAAAGCCTTCGACAATACCTTCAACAGATAATTGCAAATTCCCCATTCAGGCACAAAGGATCAGAGGCTACAAGGACAGCAGGTGGAAAACCTCAGGTGAAAAGATTTGTTTCTTGGTCCAGAGGCTAGAACTGGCTGGTGAAGAAACTACTGAGGAGCAAACAGCTAAAAAAAAACCCAATTATAACAGCTACCTTCACACTACAGTAGAACAAATTATTGTGAGGATATTGTAAGGTTTGTTTTGCAGAATGTAAACAGAGGTTAGATAAGGTTAGGGATGCTATAGTTCTGTATTGCAGGTCTTGCATTTAGCATGATTCTTAATTGCATAGTCTCCAATGCTCTTCTCTGTTCAACTGATCTGAGCCACTTGTCAAATTCAAGGCCTCCAAGGCACATCTGGACCTCCGTGTCATTTTACATGGCCTTACAGATGCTAGACCTCAACTCCTGTATTCCTCATCATTGGACAAACCTAAATATAGCTGATGAGAGCTATGATACAGAAACATATGTAAGGCTGCAGTTTGTTCTGTTTGGCTAAGAGAGTGGGGTTTGAGTCTGATGTCTGATTTTAAAATGTGTTTTAACCTTTCCCCAACTTCAGAGCCACAAATGCTGTTGGCTTGCAGTTCCCATTATCCCCAGTCCACCTAGTGGATAATCAAAAGTGATACTAGTTATTGTTCAATAATACCCGGAGACCCAAATTTGGTAAAAATTAAAGTGCACCGACTACTATGTTTTATTTATCGTGTCATCAGCAACCATTGTATTACAATTCTAACAGAGCAAAACAAACACAGAGATTAAAAAGAAAAAGAAAAAAAAGAAAAAAAACCACACAGATTTTGTAAATTTGATATTTGGTTAAATGTCCTTTGACCAGTATCTGGCCACTTGGAGTGCCTCTGGGGTTGCCGCAAGAAGGTCCTCCATCGTGCATGTGGCAGGGCTCAGGGTGCATTGCAGCAGGTGGTCAGTGGTTTGTTCTTCTCCACACTCGCATGCCGAGGATTCCACCCTGTAGCCCCATTTCTTAAGATTGGCTCTGCATCTCGTGGTGCCAGAGCGCAATCTGTTCAGCGCCTTCCAAGTCGCCCAGTCTTCTGAGTGCCCAGGGGGGAGTCTCTCATCTGGTATCACCCATGAATTGAGGTGCTGGGTTTGGGCCTGCCACTTTTGGACTCTCGCTTGCTGGGGTGTTCCAGCGAGTGTCTCTGTAGATCTAAGAAAACTATGTCTTGATTTAAGTCGTTGACGTGCTGGCTGATACCCAAACAGGGGATGAGCTGGAGATGTCTCTGCCTTGGTCCTTTCACTATTGGCTGCTACTTCCCGGCGGATGTCAGGTGGTGCAATACCGGCTAAGCAGTGTAATTTCTCCAGTGGTGTGGGGCGCTGACACCCCGTGATAATGCGGCATGTCTCATTAAGAGCCACATCCACTGTTTTAGTGTGGTGAGATGTGTTCCACACTGGGCATGCATACTCAGCAGCAGAGTAGCATAGCGCAAGGGAAATGTCTTCACTGTGTCTGGTTGTGATCCCCAGGTTGTGCCAGTCAGCTTTCGTATGATATTGTTTCTAGCACCCACTTTTTGCTTGATGCTCAGGCAGTGCTTCTTGTAGGTCAGAGAATGGTCCAGAGTGACTCCCAGGTATTTGGGTGCTGCAATGCTCCAGTGGGATTCCTTCCCAGGTAATCCTCAGAGCTCGGGATGCTTGTCTGTTCTTAAGGTGAAAGGCAGCATGTCTGTGTTTTAGATGGATTAGGGATCAGCTGGTTTTCTCTGTAATAGGCAGTAAGAGCACCTAGTAATAGGCAGTAAGAGCACCAAGAGACTACTATGTAAAAAATATATATATAGTTGTCCCTCTATATCCATGAATCCTCCATCCATGGGTACAATGGGCCCTTGAGAGCAACTGAAAGAGTGACGTGGCCCTTGATGAAAATGAATTTAATGTCCTTGATCTAAGGGAATTTTTATAAATGTAACTAAAAACAAGCTGTAAAAGCATTTAAAATATAGGCAATAAAACATGAGCACAGGGACAAAATGCATGTTTACGTATGTCAAGTTCAATGTGGGTTATAATGCACTTAGCAGGTGAGACATTCAAGGCAAAATATATGCACACCCTTTCCAGAGTAAATCCTGGAAGTGCTATTGAAAACCTGATAAATCAGACTAACATCAGACTATGGCAGCTCCTACAAAGTGAACAAATAAAACAACTCCACAAAACTGCCTATAGGTTTCTGAAATGTCATGATTCTAAGTCAACTTGAAAGGTGCAAAATATGATCTAAGTGAATTCGCTTCATTTTGATGTTTTAAAGCTACCAAGATGCTTTTACTGTATCCTGAAACCATTTTGGCAGAGTTTTAATCTAATGCTGGAGAGAAATTAATTACAAAGCAGTTTTTGCTATGCAAAAAGTTCATTCTCTACCATTTTCAAAATGTTAGATGGGCTTCCTATGCTGTTCTCTCTTGTTAGGTTGTGGAAAGCAGCACCGAAAAAGCCTAGTCACTTCCACAAAATTATTATTAATAGTACTAAACTTTAAAATACATGTTGGAATCAATAAAGTTTAAAAGCAGCCAATAAAGCTATCTGAAAACATTAACAATGATTCTGGATTGTAAATTTTATGGGTAAGAGAGTTCCACATCTCTGCGACAGCAACCACAAACATGCACTAATGGCAAATGTTTGGGCCTAAATCCAATTGCTATTCCCAGCAAGAGCTATTGAATCCACTGCTGAATGGTTAAGTCAAAACCTATATAAATCTCATTGATTATATGGGTCTATTCTCATTAGCGCTAGCAACTGAATACATGCCTCTGGCAATTATGCTGGGATGTATAAAATAGTAAGTAGTATATAGATGTTCTTAAATAAAAGAAATCATGCAGTAGGACTGTTAGCTGCCCAACTTATATCCATCCAGTAAGAATTTTGTTTTTCTTGCCAGATACCCAAATAAAAGGTTGTTTCCTACTGTTTTGTAAGAACTCTTCTTCACATGTGCATATATGTTATTTGGGGTGCTGATTCAGAAAATGGCATTGGATAGACCACATCAGCTCCAGTTTCTGATACAGAATATATGCCAGCCAGTAGTCGCCATCTGCTCACCCACAGAAAGCCATATTTAATAAGCCGCGGCACTCTAAGTGGGTTTTATTTATTTATTTATTTATTTCACAGTTTTGTATACCGAGCTTCTCAACCTCGTTGAGGGACTCAGCCCAGTTTACAGCCATAAAAACATATACATTAATTAAAATATCATATCAAAATATCAAAATATTTTGCGAGACCAGTTGCTCTCGTTGCAATACTGTAGTAACTGTGAGGCCTCGGACTGTATTTTAGTTCTTATAGACCACTGGTGGTCAACAGACCACAGGTTGGGAACCCCTGATGTAGATGTACCCTAGATCAGGAAGAGAGGAGAGGAAAAGGCAGAGTCTTGTACTTCACAGTACATTCAAGCAAAGGTCATTTACTGCAGCCTCTCCTAGCTTTTCTGCTTTTCATTAATAATTTCTGCCATTTTGTCTTGAATTTTGTCTGTGAAATGTTGGAGGGCACGAAGTTATCTTGTGTGAAAGGAGACACATAATGATATCCCTATAAAGGTTTCCATAAATTTACGGATGTAAATTTTCAAGCCAACTGTTCCACTTCAGTCCCCACCACCAGCCCATCTGTGAACTTCGTGTCAGATTTTGGCCCAGGCTCTCCTAATTAAACAGCTAAGGAGTTCAAGTTGATACTTACTGGTCTGTAGTGTCTAAAGCTTTTTCAAGTCTTTGGGGTTTGAATTGTTCGTCTCATTCAAAATCCTTTCACTCAAAAGACCACTTGGCTGAAAATGAAATAGGTCATAGAACTATAAATAGGAGGTAAATTATATTTGCACATTAACTGAGACTGGGAAAGGAAAGGAGCACTTCCAAGGCCAAGACTGATCAAATGGCAATATCTCAATGGGAAACTGGATTCCTTAATTTCCGTGCCATTGGGGAGTAACCCATTGAAAAGAATTACTTATCTAAAGCACAATGAGTGATTGTCCTAAACTTGCACCAAAGGCTGTATTTCGGAGCCGTCCCAGAAGATGAAGTAACTGCTGGCAAATTTCAAGCTTTTAAAAAAAATAAAAGCCTGCCATTCTCAGGAACAGATACACATCCAGATGCAGCCAGTGATGCTGAAAGTTGTGGATGGTCTGTTTATGCTAGACAACATGGGACTCCGTGGAGGTGGGTTAAGTTACAGTCTTGGGGATAATGGTACTTTTGCTCAAAGATGTTGTTCTTATTTTTCCTGATATTATTAGTTGTAGTAAAAGGCGTAGGCATAATTATACCTTCTTTTCCCAGTATGTAACTCAATACAGTTTAAAACAGTTAAAATAAGCAGCACAGAATTCACAGCACATAAAAGTTAAAAAGTAAAAAAAGCTGACAAGACATACCAGCCAAAACAGCCACAAGAATGCAGCACATTATACAAGACCTGTTTCCCGTAAAAGATCAATTTTCAAAAGCTTGTCAGAATGAAAAGTGAAATGCAAAGCAACAGCAGGAAAGATACCATGCCTTGTTATAAATACAAACCAAACATGGTTGTCGTAGTCATCATCATCATCACCACCACCATAGGTGATCCTTTGTGGCCAAATATTATTGTCTTTCAGAGATAGAGTGTTGGTCATGGGTCCATGGATGACTGTGGAGATCTATTCTGCATCCACATGATCTTTCACACTGAGGACAAGGGTTTGCTTGATGCACATTCCTCTTGGCATGCTTCTTCTTTCTGCCCTGTATTCATGCCTCTAATAATAATAATAATAATAATAATAATAATAATAATAATAATAATAATAAGGGTACCCTACTAGGATCTGCATGCATTATTATCTAATACATCACACAGTCCTAGACACTTGGGAAGTGTCTGACGTGTGATCCAATATAACAGCCAGTAGAGTGATCTTGTTTGCTGTGTACTAATCTTGTGTTTCAAACAACAACAACAACAACTTTATTCTTGTATCACGCCACTATCTCCCTGAAGGGACTTGACTGGGGACCAAGCCCAGTCAAACAGAGTTAAAATATAGCATAATAAAATACATATGCAAAGGTCATAAAAACATAAACCATGAACAATCAACATGGAACCATTGGTAACAGCTGGCCTCCAGTTACAACGCCCCAGAACATCCCACTTCTTGGTGTTTTTTCCATATTTTTATGTTGCTGGTAATGGTGGTTTTCTAGCCTCATGTGATAAAACCCAAGGCCTTTAGTTAATGGCCTTCCTATATCAAATATATAATTCTGAGTGAGCTTGTTTCAAGTGATTGCAACATAACCTCCGTTATTTCTTAATTTGGGCTTTAGGTATTGGCTGGGGTTTTGTTCCCGGACCTCCTTAAGATACTGAAATCCATGGATGCTTAAGTTACATTACATACAATGAGGTAGTAAAATGCCGTTCCTTATATAAAAGAGCAAAACCAAGCTTTGCCTTTTGGGTTGTTTATTTTTTAAATCATGCTATGGATGGCTCAATCTATGGATAAATAAGCTTTGGATACCGAGGATCAACTTTCAACTTTGGTTAGAACTCAATCGCTTTTCCAAATAAAAATAATAACTGAGTTACTTGGTCATCAATAAATTGTCAACCTATATGTACACATGCAGACACAATCTATTGGCATTCATCTTAATATTTTTAGTAGCACTGGATCGATAGAAGGATTTTCAGAGGATGACATTATGCATACAAATTATTAAAGCAATGTAAGAAATTTGTCAATATGAATTTTAAAGTTCAGTAGCACAGAGCAATAATTCAGTTTTCCATTTTAATAATGAAAAGGAAAGGTAATTTAATACATAGAATGATTGCATTATACACTTATGAGGAACCAGAAGCATCTATACCAGCTTCCCTGTGTTCCTGTGTAGAAATCCTGCAGGGACTTCAATATAGTGAGTATCTCAACCAAGCAAGCCTCTTCACTGTCTGTATAGAAATAAAATAAAAGGCTCTAAAGGCATTTTAATTGTATAGAATTAAACATTTCTCGTGCACTGCGACGTAACTTGATGACAGTTTGCTTTAGTCTACTAGAAGCAAAACAAGCCAAATGGGAAAGGTGTGTTTTGTCAGATTTGCCACCTAGATTGTATATAAAGCCAATTTATTTTCTTTACAATGTTTATCCTCACCTGTTAAAAGAATGAGAAAATACCTAGAGAGTTGAATATTTAGTCTTGTTGCATCTCATTTGATTTGCAGACTACAAATAAGAGAACTATATTAAAATTTAATGCTGTCTTTCTTGGAGTTTTAGTCTGCCAGATTTGGTGTTATATGTCTAGCACTTCTAGTCTGTTAGATTTTATGCAATTCTGGTGGCATGAAAGCTGATCGTTAGCTTAATATTCCATATATTTGTAAATAATGGGTTAAACCCAGAGTTATCTCCATTTATCCATGGTAGAAGGGAATTGGGATCTAGTGGAGGAAGATACCAGGGTGGCAATTTACCACAATTTTCAGCAAAAGACCTCTGAAAAATGCCTCACTTTCCCTTCTATCCATGGGAAGGTCCAATTTATGAATTTTCACAACTCAGGAAATTGAATACACAGTAATGGGAAATTGGCTAGCCTCCTGTTTAGTGACATACTTTACAATGATATATGCTTTGTTTGGTCATTGGAAAAGGACAAACTCAACATTTCCCTCAATCACCCCATTTGCACAAAATCCACCTGTTTCGGGGGAGGGGGGATCCCAAACATTTTCCCAAATAGTGCATATAAACCAAACATTAAGTTTCTTATACATCATATTTTAGTCTCACAAGTCTACCCTTGCTACTAGACTGAATTTGGGATGCTCATCAGCCTAAAGATAATGTGCTACCCACAACACATTTTCAATAAGTCCTATATTTAGAAGCTCCAGTGTATCACTAGATAATGAAAAAGTATAGAATGCCTCATGCTTTTGTATATTAATTATGTTCTTTATAAATGTGGGCAGAATGAATAAAAGGAAAGAGCAGACTGACAATCCATGGAAAAGGCAGGTAAGAACTTCTCCTTTTCTTCATCATAACTGTAAGAAATGTCTCAAGAACCTGCACTGAATTTAATGTTGACAGTCTTCTAATGCTGCTTGGCTACGAGACAACCAATAGCTATTCAGGAAACAGTAACTGTGCATGTCTTGGTAAGCAACCCATTCATACTGTCCTTCCAATTAGTAAGACTGTTAGCTCCAGGTTAGCTCTAAAATCAGAAAAACTGACTTCCAATGCCCTTGGGGCTATTCTGTCTTGCCTGTGTCCAAAAAACTTGGGCATTGGTATTTACTGAGAGACCACATAACAAAATTGAAAAGCGCACATATCGCAGTCTATAACATCTTGTTTAACCACACAATTCTGTTCTAAAAGAGGTTAAGAACAGAAATATTGTTTGGTGTTAATTGTAATGTAGCTTCTGGTAGTCCCTAAGAAATCTCACAAAGGAGAGAGAATACATACAGAGATACAAACAATGCTGTTGTTTGGTCGCAAATCCTCTTTTTACTGATGGCAACCTAGTGAGAAACTTCCATAGTTCCTGGTAATCAATTGCTTGGGTTTGGCAAACTCGGTATCATGGTTCCTTTTTCTGAATCAATCAAAGTGATCATCTTTTTCCTCCTATCACAGCTTTACCAATCATTATAGTCATTATATGTCCACATTTTAATAGCTTCAGTTTAGTCATTTTGGCTACTAGGAGAATTCATGCCTGGTGTATCAATTAATCAATATCCCAATTTCCTGACAAGATAGAACCCATTCATTTGCCTATAATATATATATAGTATAATTTGCCCAGTATCACCCACTGAGCAATACTCTTGAGCAAATATTTTAATACGAGACTCTGGAAACAAAATCCAGCACTCTAACCATTAATAGTTATACCACAAAACTGCACAAAAAGTAAGCCATCTAGTTGTTTCATCATATGCTCACTGAATTCCTGTGTAACAAAACCATTACTGAGACTTTAAGCTGAAATATATGAAAGCCACATATAAAAGAACCTGCAAAAGAAGCTATAGCTCATAAATGATACCTTTATGATGTGATGCTAAGGATGAAACCAGAGAGAAGCAAGAGAAATGTGTGTGTATCCAGAAGTGGGGAGTCTTTGCACGAAACAGTTGACAGGAAAATCTTTCCCACAACCATAACTCCTATATTTCCAGCCCCAAAGAGGAGAGTTTCCATTTCACAGCTGAGATTGTGTAGGGTTGGAAAACCTTTAAAAAGGGGGGGGGGGCGGGATTGCAAGGGAGAATCAGTAAACAAAAGGATTATGTACCATGTGTGCCTTTAAGCCACCTGTCAATTTATATAATTTCATAGGGTTTCTTAGGCAAGGAATACTCAGAGCTTGTTTGTCATTTTTTTCTTCTGAAATCTTCTGAAACACAGCCAACGCCACCTGGTATTCCTTGGCAGTTCATCCTCTAAGTACTAATCATTGCTGACCCTGCTTAGTTTCCAAGATCAGGTGAGATTTATTGCCTTGAGTAAACAAGGGATTTGGACCTTCGAGTTTCCTTTATAAGGTCTGCTTCCAGGAGTGAATAGAGATGTTTTTGACTGCTGTTTTTGTGTCTTGCAAAGGTGTCCAAAATAATAGAATTGAAGTATCAGTTCCACCATCAGAGGCTGCTCAGGGATGTCACAGCTGGAAATAAATTGCCTTCAATTGCTAGGGATTATAAACTTCTGTTTGCAAAGAAATTCAACTATCTTTACTTTTTTCTCACTCCCCTTTAATTTAACTGTGTACATATTTGTTATGTGGAATGTGGTGCCATTATACATTAACTGCTAAATGATCTGTAAGAACTAATCAGATCATCATGCAGAGTTGCACATGTTAATGAAGCTGAGGTTTACACTTGAATGGATATTACAGTAAAGCCTAATTTATCCAGATATTATGTTCGTTTCTTACAGATGTATCTCCAGTCTGCATCATGGGTACAGATGATGCCCTAGGAAGATGGACTGTCAAACATGGTACCCTTTCTTTGTTGTCTCTCTCCAACACTCTGAAATTGGGCATCTTCCTAATTCTCATTCCCCATTGGTAACCGGGGTTTGTCTATACATAACATTCAGCCGCCTCTCTTTCCTCTGTCCTTTTGACAGTGTCCACTTAATACTGGAAGCTCCTTGTGACCACAGACCTGCCTAAGATATCTGAGTTACTCTAAGGTGACATGAAGCCTGAGAACTTGATATAACCATCTTCTCTGAAAAGAAGAACCTCACATAAGGAAGCTGTTTTATCTCCCTAGTGTCTTAATAAGCACATATTTATTCTGCCTTTGCCTGCATTGTCACACTTGATTAGCTGAAAGTAATTATTTTATATCAGCAGGCAAGGGATATAGAATATTTCCTGGCAGGGAGGAGCACTGCTTAGATATAACAGGCATAGCACCCCCCCTTTTTTTTGTTTCTTTTTTTGTTTCTTTTTTTCTTTTTGGAATCGCAGGCCAAATGTAATACTGAACTTAGTGCAGCAACTGTAGACCCATGGCCCTTGAATAGTACAGTTGGTCTTCCAAATTTATAAGTTTGACTATTGTGAATTTGATTATTCACAGATTTGATTAAAATATTCTCTCTAGATCCTCCAGTGTGGCAGTATTGTCACCTTCCACAGAAAAAAACTCTTCTTTTACCTGAGGGAACACCTTTCTAGGAATGTCTAGAAAGGCACATCCGGACAGCCCCTTTAATACGGGAGTTTCTGTAATTGAAAGGGGGCTGTCCAGATGACATCCTGGACAAACCCAAATTAATTTGCCACAAACCAGGAAAAGCCTGGTTTTTGGCGAATTAATTTGTTAGTGGGTTTATTCTGCACTTTCTTGGGAGGTGCGAGATAAACATACTACTTCCAGTGTCTGGACTGCAGACCGAACAGTAGTCCCATGGTTTTCTGGCCTAAATTAGCACAGAAAACTGTGAGAACACCAACCCCCTCTCGAAAAGCCCTTTAAAAACAAATGAACTTACCCGGCCTCCATTAGAGGGCTGCCACAGCTCTCCTGGCATGTAGAAGTTATGCACCAAGAGAAAGGAGGGAAGAGAAAAATTGCTCCTGCCCCCCCCCCTTGTGCGGGCTCATCATTTCTATGCGCCAGGAGAGCTCCAGCAGCCCTTTAATGGAGGCCAGGCAAGTTCTTTTGTTTTTTAAAGTACTTTGAGGGGCTTTTGGGGAGAGGGTTGGAGTGTCCGGGTGTTCTCCTGGAAAGTTCGGGGAGAACACCTGGACACCCACCCCAGAAATTACGCGCTTTCTGGGGTGGGTGTGGATGGGTCCCTGGGAACATTCGCATTTTTTAAACGTAAATATTCCCGGGATATATACCCGTCTGGAAGTGCCCTAGGTCCCCAGGGCAATTTTGTGGACAGGTTGCAGTGGAAGGTAGAAGTTCCAGTAGACTTGTCCTGGAGGTGAAAAAATAGTGATTTTTTTTAACTGGAGGGAACACCTCTTTAAGAATGTGAAGCTTTTTAGTTTCAACAGGGTCCTGTACCCCTGACATCAGTGAATGTGGAAAGGTGAATGTAATAGCAATATTTACTTCTGATAAAAGAAATGCAAATTGCTACACTATACAAATGATGGCTGGCATCCTATTCAGCAGTGATGAGAATATAAGATGATTTTAGGATCTTGTAAGTGCTGAAGATTCATGTTTATAGTCATTCACAATTGAACATGACCCCCCCCCCCCCACACACACACACACACATACATTTGGCAGTACCCCAACTGAAGGGTTCTCAAGTGCTGCAGTTCAAAGGGCTGGGAAATTATGGCTGCTGCATTCTCCCAGTCACAGGGCAATGCCAGCATGACCAAGTTGCCTCTTCAGCCTCTTGTCCAGCATACGTCTTTCAAGCAGATATCGTTTGCCAGATCCCTGACCTGAAGCAACTTAGAAACCCTTCAACCAATGTACTGCTAGGCTGAAGAGGTGGGATTTGGGTGGGCTAGTATAATCGTAAAATAACTATTAAGATAAAAACCAATCATCGTAGTTATATCTGATGATGTGGGATCCCAGTCTGTATCACCGACTAACAATTATCCAAATTATATGTATAAGATATAAATAAAACATGAATGAAGCTCATGTTTAGACTTGAGTCTAATCTTTAACATATATTATTTTGCAGGTATCTGTTAAGTACAGTTATTCCAAAATCCAACCCTCTCCCCGAAAATCCATTTAAAAAAAACCTTCTGGTCCTAAGCATTTTGGATAAGGGATACATAACCTGTACTTTCCGATTTCTCTGCAAAGCATTCTTCTGTCCAAAGAAAAAACGTTTACAAGAGCCTTTCTGATAGAAGAGTGTGCTGAGGGGATAGAGGAATACAAAATAAGCAGTGTACTTTCAGCACGTGCATAAAGCTTTGAAGTAAGCTTTGTTGGTATGGATAAAGGACATTATAGTGTTCTCTATATACACCTTTACCATTATTCCCATTTTTTCTGGGTTGGGTTTATTCGCAAGCATTTTTCTGGTGCTAGAAAAAAAGAGAGAGAGAATTATATTTCTGAATTGGTAATTATAGGTACCCTTTGGAAGACAAGGTTTTAAATCACTGAACAACTCGGCTTTTCCTTGCAAATGGCACAAGTTACAAATTAGTTTAGCTGCCCTTTTTCAGAGGTAAAGGGTAGAGATATAATTAAACTGCTAAAATCTAGGGCAATATTTGGAGTTTTATATCAGGTTACCACACAAGGACTAATGAAGGAACTTGTCTTTTACCCTATTTTCTTCACACCAATGGACTGGGATATTATCACAAGCAACATCTTACATTATTGCAGTTTGATATCATAGCATTTATCTTCTTCTTTAGTTTGTGAAGAAAGGGAAATAATTACTTTGGCTTCTGTTTTGCAAATTGAAAAACAAAAATGTTATACTAAAATGGAAAAAAAATCATAAATACAGAAACATGTAATATAAGGAGGAGATCGAGAGACAGAATAAAGAGCTATGCAAAAGAATAAAAATTTTATATCCTCGCCACCATACTCTCAAACAGATTCTAATAAAGTTACAACATGAGGGCTAGAAATTTGTGAACAGATTGGAATGTTTAGCCAGGAAGAAAGATAGATTTAAATATTTTAAGCCCCTTCCCCATGATTAATTGTGCATCCCCTTCTGTAATTACTATTTTTCATTGGCCACTTTCCTTCAAGATATGAAGCAGTTTGAATATCCATTGTTCATAGTGAGATCATATTTACAAAGAAGGATTTTCTCATTTCCATTAATTGTTGAAGTGACATGTAATTAAATTTTGTGCGGAGGGCTCCCATATGAAAGCATCATCTCGGAACGACTTTTTCTCTCTTCAAAAATACATGAATGTAAACAAAATCTGACAATTTGTTCCATTACAGTAACAGTAAACCTAAAGGGATTGCAGGAGCTAGGAGTGTATTAATGTGGCTTTCGGATTCAATTTCTTTCACACAGAGAGGGAGGAAAGCAAGTGGCGGAGGGAAGCCCCCAAAGACAGACCTCTGTGATTGGAATGGCCCTCTTACATGATCATCAAAACAAAACAGACTTGCTTTATTTGCGTAAGAGTCAAAGTGGCTGTGACCCTGAAAATGAAATGATACTCATAATGTATCACCCTGACTGAAGCTCGATGCTTTGCAAGCTAATTGAGGTGCAGTGTGGAGAAAGACCGCTGTGCGGAAGGGAAGGAGGATTTCCCTGCCTTTTCTCTCCCTGCAAACAAGGCTGAGGAGTTACATTGTGGTAAAAGTCCTCCCATAAACTGCTGATATGACTTCCGCCTGCCAGGAATAAATAATAATAATAATAATAATAATAATAATAATAATAATAATAATAATTGCAAAGACTCTGGCACAAGCTAGTAAAGGTGGTCCCAGTAGTAATCAGCACACCAGGTGCAGTGCCTAAAGACCTTGGCCTGCACTTAAACACAATTAGCACTGACAAAATTACCATCTGTCAGCTGCAAAAGACCAACCTACTGGCATCTGCACGCATTATTTGCCGATACATCACATAGTCCTAGACACTTGGGAAGTGTCCGACGTGTGATTCAATACAACAACCAGCATAGTGATCTTGTTTGCTGTGTACTAATCTTGTTGTGTTTCAAATAATAATAATAATAATAATAATAATAATAATAACAATAATGAATT